TGGGACTATCTGCCCATAAAGATTTAGAGCCCTGGTAACCCACTGGAGGCTTGCTAGGGGTTCAAATGGACTCGATGGCAGTGGGCGTGGCTTTGGTTTTTGGCATTCTACTAACGAATAACTTATTTAAATGTCACAGAATACAGAAGAGGAGATATGTCTATTTGCATTTTACCTGTGGAGACAAGGATGCAGGCGAGAGTTATGCAAATTTCCAGGGTAATGGAGATAGTGAATGGTGGAGCTAGGATTTGAACCCTGGTGGTCCATCTCCAGCACCTCTGCTCTTAGTTGCTGAATTTTACTTCCTTTCCTATAAGAACTATCAGCTGACTTGCTCTTGGCTTCTCAAAGGAGCTTTCCCCAGTGTGTTAGCGGAATGACCACTCCTAGAAGCAGAGATAATCTGATGATCTACAAAAGACCCTATTAATGTTGGGTATTGGGAAGTGTCTATGTACTCACCACTACTAAATTGCAGATTTACGTTGCATATTATCAAGAAGACCAGGTTTCTGAACTTGTGCAGAAAGTATAGCACCGCTTAGGCGAGAAGATTAGGAAAATCACCTGCCTGGTGCTCTCATGAAATGGAAGATGAAAGTGATACAGGCACAGGGCTTGAAAGAAGACCCATTCACTCCCCTTTGATCGTTATAACGTTGTATCATTTATCACATATATAGAGAAATTAACAGCAGCAAAATGTAACTAACTGTGCCTCACTATAGGGAATGAGATTGAAGTGAGAGGAAGATTTCCAATTGCAAATTCATACCCTTACATATCATGTACAATTATTATGATGAGTAAGCATTTTAATGAGATTTCAAAATTTTCTAAAGTGTGATCTAATGAACAGGCAGTGTTCATTTATTCATTTGTTGAAGAAACAAATATTACTGAATTTAAGTTGGCAGAACCGTCAGTATTCAGGCTGTCATTTGAGGAGCCTGCTTCATGGCTCCAGGCTGTGCCCTTCGTACCCATCACTGTCCTAATGTTTTAAAAAAGGCGTAATGGGTAAGAGGGTTGACTTTGCTCCCAGGATCATCTAGTGGTTTCAAACTGCTTACCCTGTAATTAGCAGCCCAACAGGTAACTCACTACATTACCAGGACTCCAGCAGTAAAGTATTTCCTAATTTCATTAAAGGTGACATTTGCTTGATTGCTTCTTATTCTCCTGTTTTCTGTTGGTTTCCAGAAAGCAGAGGTGGGAATAAATGGCCTTTTCTTCATAAATCAGAAACCTATGGCTATTAAACAAATTCTTTGACCTTACAGAGGCTTTGGAACCTCAGCCAAGAATAGAGTGTGGCCATGGGATATGGAAAATGTCCCAGGTTTTGTTTTTTCTATTGGTAAAATCAACATGCCCAAGCAGCAAGGTCTTTGAAACTACGCAGATTACTACCATGCATTCATTTTGTGAATCTTTCCGTTTAATTGCTTTTATATTTCTGCAGAGTAATTAGGCTGGCAGGGCACTGCACATTTGCCCAGTGAAGACTGACTTTCAATTACAGAGCAATTTCAAAATCAGGTGTGCTCATAAAGAAGGTCTTGAAGGCCAGCAAGGACACAGTGTGCCTTGCGAGACTTAAACTACCCTGAATGTACTGCAGTGGGGGGAGGAGTGGCAGCCCGCTACAGATAGGAACACAGCACTAAGGAAGAACTGTCTGCAATAGGTTCTCCATATGGTGCTAACAAACCAGATGGTCCTAAGAAAAGCCACTTTTTATAGCCTGTGACTTAATAAAAAATAAATAAAAATTTGTTTTAAGTTCAGCAGGAAGGAAAATATACACTTACCTTCTCCTTTTGGGCTCAAAAGATAACACAAAGCTCCAAGACCAGCCCATTGCCACTCAGTCAATTCTGAGTCGTAGCGGCCCTATGAAACACAGTAAAACCACCCACAGGGTCCCAAGGCTGCCATCTTTTCTGAAACAGATGGCCACATCTTTCTCACTCAGAGCAGCTGGTTGGTTCGAAGCACTGCCTTTTGGTTAACGGTCGAGTGCTTAAACTACTGCACCATCCGGACTCCTACGTGTCACCCAAACAAAGCAAACTCACTCCCATCGAGTCGATTCCGACTCATGGCATCCCTATAGGATAGGATAGAAGCGTCCCTCTGGGTTTCTGAGACTGTAACTTTTTAGTATTTTTCTGTTGCGGAGCAGCTGGAGAGTTTGAACGTTGGACTTTGTGCTAGCTGTCCCACCCCTATCTAACACCAGGCTCCTTCTTTCCTATGAGAAGATAGGAGACATGTGTATATGTCTGTCTACAGTACATCCTTTTTTACCTGAGATCTTGTTGGATGTTGCAGACATGGTTGTTAGTCTGAAACACTTAAAGGGTCTCCTAAAAATAAGGAAATTCTCCTACAAAAGCATACTGATACATAGAATAAATAATTACCTAATCTCACCTAATAGTCCACGATCAGATTTCCCTACTTGTTCTTAGACTTAATTTATTATTTTTAAATAAATATGTAGTTATTTTGAAGCAGGATCCAATTGGTTTAGACTTTTATTATTATTTTAAGGTTTACGCTTTTTATTTGGCTATGTCTCTTTAGTTAGATATGAGAGCTCCAAATAATATTTACTATAATTTATATGTGGCTCTCTGTTTTGAGGATATTTACTTCATGCAACCATTATGTTTCTGATAAATGAAACGTATTTTTAATAGCTACAGATTTGTATAAAGAACTAAGATATTGTTAGTTTAAGATACAAGCTGTTATTGGATAGGGAAGGATAAAGGTCTCTCTAAAATTTATTAATTTTGTTAATTTGCTTCTTTAATAAATGATTGCTATTCTTTTAGTTACTGAGCTTTATTGTGAGAATATTTCAATATTGCACTTGTAACAATAGTGCAACGAATGCACAGATTACTGCAGTACATATTTTAGGCTGGGATATTTGAAATGATAACTTCTGGCTAAGTAAATTGAGGTTGCATCAGAATGTTTACAAGTGTAACATAGTTTGTAAATATTCACTAACATTGTAAGGGGAGATAATGCAAATTATTATTATTATTTTTTCAGTAGCATGCTCACCTCCTGGATGGCCATGATCTTACCAGCCAGGCTCATGCACAGCATGGGCAAATTATTTTTAATCCTTAAAATATAGAATCCTTTTCAGTGATTTCTATTTTTTATGATGGTATGCAACCAAACTTTTACAGGAATAACAGAAACATGTATTCTGAACATGTTCATAGTACATTTTACCAAAAATGTACTATAAAAATGTACTATATTCGTGGTTTTAGTTATGATAGCTTTTACTGGCATTTTGCCACTAAAGTAAAGACAAATTTCCACCAGGTTGGTGTCTATAGAAACTTAATATACCATACCCCATTTAAAATAATTTCACCAAAATAAACTCCATTGGCTTCATTTTGTTTTCTTGAAAATGCTTTGTTATTTTTCAGAATTTTAGATGATTTACACAAAAAGTCCTCCCTTCATACAAAAAGTGCTCCCTTCCTTCCATGAGCCCTTTTGATCTTGTGATACCATTCACGTGCACTACTGCTTACTGGGCTGGCTGGTTAGATGCGGAGCTCCCTGCATCGATGCTCTTACAGGCACTTTCAGAATGCGATAAGAGTGAGTGCTGGTGGTTTTTATGACTTAGTTCCTATCCACAACTGAATTTTCATTTTCATTGTGTTTTGACCTGAAAAATGAAATTCCATGTCCAAACACACCACAGATTAGTAAGAAGTAGAAATGAAGCCTTGTGGTGCAATACTTGTGAGAAGTGTATGCTTGGAGAATTTTTAAGTATACATTTTCACATAATGTCTTGATTTAGGAAGACAGTATAATTAAGAAAACGTTTCACATACTTAAAAAAGCTGCATTACCAAGTAAAAAGAAGCAAGTTGAAATAAATAGACTCATTTTGTTCAAATAAAACCAAAAGCCCTCACTGCCGTCCTGTTGGTTCTGATTCTCAGCGACCCAGTAGGGCACGTGGAACTGCTCCTGTGGGTCTCTGAGACTGTAACTCCGGGAGTTCAGAACCATCTCCCACACGTAAGTCTCCCACATTCTTCTCTATGTTTACAGAAATAAAGGGAATGCTTTGGACAATGAACATTGATGATTCCAGATGTGTGGGACTGAAAAGAGAGTTGGACTGAGCAGGGTGAAAATAAAGATATTTGGGTTTTAATATATACATTCAATCTTTAGTTTTTATAACAAGCAGCTATTTCTTTTCATAGTTTAAAAAAACATCAAAAGAACAAAACTGAATTGACACAAATTAGGAATCTGGGGGAAAGTCATGCAACTATATTTAACTAAATTAAAGATGAACAAATAAAAGAGAAAATTGGGACCCAAGGAAAATGGAAACGTACAGTATTTAGAAATATCTATGTATATTATGCTTCAGAGATTAAGATTCCTTTGGGCATGCATCCCCCTCCTCCTACAACTATCAAGCCCCCCAATCAATCAATTATCTATACACATGAACTAAAAATCATCTATAATATAGAAACAAAATAAATTACTTAAGATGTTCCAAAAATCTTTTCACATTCAGAATCTCTCTTCTTTTTGAATCACCTTTTGATTCAGTCATTGATATTTGTGCTTTTCCACACGATGCTCTTTATGCCACACAGAGCTTTGCTTATAAGCACTTCATTAAGAGCACATCATCATGTCTCTGGAATTTTCTTCTTAGATACCAGTTTCCACAAGGCAAGTTTAATGTTAATGCTTTCCTGATCTAAAAGTCTCATGGAAGGTTTTCAGTTACCAACTAGGACTTAATCTTTCTCAAATATAGTTGTTACATTGCTTTTTGAGCCAAACATTAACAAGCAGCCATACCCCAGTCTTGTCACCAGGAACACATTTGTGCAGGCACAGACTATGGTAATTATAGGGTATCTATACCAGGATACTCCTTGAAGGGAGAGCTGGACATCAAATACCCTGTGCTAGCTCATATTATTTCTTCAAAATGTTTATTCTCTTTCTCCAGGAAAGGATCAACTGGATCTTAGCCCAGTTGTTGGGAGACTCCATTTATCTCTGTAATCAGAAGTGATTTGTAGTTTAAGGCCAGGTGCAATTTCAACAGAATCAAGGTGGGAAAGGAGGGAAGGAGAAGAGGTAGTCTGTAGAGCAGAAGGATCCGCTGCTCCTGTTTTTCTTCTCTCCTTCCAATTCAAGCAGATTCCATGGTGGAGTTATCAGTCTGTGCAGAACAGCTTTCTCACTCCTCACAACAGGAAAGTACAGTGTTTGTGCTTAGATGTTTCACGGAGAAGGGGCTGAACTCAAAATGAATTAAGGACCGAACTGCAATCAAATGTTGGTGGATTCAACAATTTGCAGCAGCCCTTCAGGGAAACCAGGCTGTAATTTCCTCCCGGGATGACCTTGCCCGGACGATTGATGATAGTGCTGGGGAACAATGGAATGAAGGAGTTAGTTGAGACCAAGGAAAAAATAGATAAAAGATCAAATATTAAAAATCACACAGGGCAAGAAATGAATTGTCTTCCTCACTTGTTTAGTAAAGGTAGGCTAAAGAACAGAGCTATAAGGGAATTAATGTTGGTTCTCTAATCCTGGATGTCTGAGAGACCACCCTCCACTCCTGTCCCCTTTTTTCTCTAGAATAATCAAAGGAAGCATTGAACCCTACCAAAGTTGTACTTTCATACTGAGGAGGGTAGATGAGCCGCGAACATTGACTTTGCAAATGGAAACAGTACAGGGGAAGAGTGACCAATATGAATTGCTGGTGGCCCCACATCCATATTTGCCCATCACCATGCTGTCAGGACAACCTAGGTTGCTTGATCTCCTTGAAAGAGAGGTACTAGGAGTTAGGGATTAAGAGCGTAGGCTTTGTGTGCAGAGAGATTTCAATTTTGTATCTTGATTCTGTTTGTACTAATTTCATGACCTTGGGTAAGTGAGACAGCCTACCTTATGCTCGTGTGTGTGTGTGTGTGTGTGTGTGTGTGTGTGTGTGTGTAACACACAAATGTAACAGTGCCTCATTTAATGGTTTCAAAGTTTAAGTACAATAATTCATACCAAGTGCTTAGCACACACACATATTAAATGATTGAGTTACACTAGGTAAGCTAGTAAGTATTATGATTCCTAATTTAAAAAATAATTTTATTGGGGGCTCGTACAATTCTTATCATAATCCATACATCCATCCATTGTGTCAAGCACATTTTTACATTTGTTGGCATCATCATTCTCAAAACATTTGCTTTCTACTTGAGCCCTTAATATTAGCTCCTCATTTCCCCCCTCCCTCCCCACTCCCTGCTCCTTCATGAGCCCTTGATAATTTATAATAATTTATAAATTATTATTATTTTGTCATGTCTTACACTGTCCAACATCTCCCTTCACCCACTTTTCTTTTGTCCATCCCCCAGGGAGGAGGTCATGTGTATATCCTTGTAATCGGTTCCCCCTTTCTACTAATCTTATCCGAGAAAAGTTAAAGAAGGAAAACTGTCTAGAAATGCCATACACATTCTTACTTTATTTATAATTTGTAAAAATATTGAACGGAGGGTAACTAGATCTGATTAGATTTTAAATAATGGAGTGTAAATAAATTGCACTCAAATATACAATACCTGTTGAATAGACTCTGGCAACAAGAGACAAGTTCCGTTGTGTTTGGAGGTAAGCTGAAATTGAAGGCCTTCTCGAAAATGTGATGGCAGGTGATGTCCACAGGTGTGCTAGAGAGCATGCCTAGAAATGGAACAGAATGCCATTCACATTATTAGTTAATGAAGTCAGGGAGCTCTCTTTCTGTTCTTAGCTGTTCAACTGTATTCCACACAGTTAACTTTGCTGTGACTCCCAGTTTTCTGGGGCAGCATATGCTACCTGTGGGCATTGGAGGCCCTACGGGTATACGAGGCAGGAAACAAATGATGGGATGGGATACGGTACCTGCAATGCAGGCAGTCATGAAGCACGCGATGGTCCCTGCAATCAGAGCTCTAAATGCTCCGGATGCGATGTCTCGTTTTCTGGAAGGAGCCATGGATGCTAGGAAACAGACGCAAGTATGAGCAGCTAGTGGATAAGTTAAGCTACCTGCCCCTGGGGTCTCAGGTCACCTGAGATATTCAAAGTTCAAGAGCTGCTTAGTAATTCTAGAGACATACCGGCTTGCATAAAGATTATAGCCTAGACCCTCCCTCCTCCCCGAGGGGCAGTTCTGTTTTGCCATTTGGCATCACTGTGTGTCAAAGTTCATTCAAGGCAACAACTTGTAAAAATTCTAGTTCCAAGCTATGCTCAAATGGAAAAGGTAGGGACTCCAGTTACAGAGTTGGCCCTCATCCCAGTGGTGAGGTGAGTCTTGGGAATGTGCCTACCCATTGTCCCTAACTCTGAGAGCTCTACATCCCTTCCCTGCACATTGATCCTGACAAATCGAATCTCCTGGGCACCCAATTCTTCAGCAGCAACTCTTTGAAATACCTCAGAAGAGTCTTACTAGTCTGATGGTCAGTTTACATTATATTAGAATGTAATAGCTAGACATGATTACTACTGTTACACAGAGGCACAAATGTTTAACTTTGGAAGGTACCAGAGATATAATCTAGCCAAAATTTCTTGAAGACCTGCCCAGTGTCAGATTGGCTATGGAATCATTTCCAGAGGATCATTAGCTGGTCATTAAACATGAGGTTACATTGTGCTAACAAACACCCTCCACAGCTCAGTGGCCCAACAACCACAGTAATTTTTTCACCCTCTGTCCATTTCAGCTGGGCAGGAATGCTCTGCTCAGTGTGGACACTCAGAGACCCCCAAAGTGCTCATCACGGAAGCAGAGGAAAAAGACAACTCTAGACCACCTTACTCTGGCAATGAATGCTTTTGCCAAGACGAGTCAGAGATCCAGTCACAGCTCATTGGCCAAAAGTAATCTCTGACTCCGTCCAACTGCGGGGGGGCTGAAAAGAGCAACCCTACTAGGTCCCCAGAAGGACAAGACAGAAACTATTTTGGTTAATAACATCAGCGAACACTATCTGGAGTCTTAAAATGCATATGCCTGGATTCTGCCTCTGAAGCGTTTAAATTCAGTAGAGCCAAAAGAAGCCTGGAAATGTATATTTGAAGGAAAAGAAACCCAAACCCAATGTCTTCAGCGATCATGTCAGGCAGGAAGACAATGGGTGCACAAGAAAATGTGGTGAAGAAAGCAGATGATGCTTGGCTA